GGCAAGGAACTTGGATGCTCACGGGTGTTTATGGAAGCCCTCAATACTCTCTCCATCAACACTTGTGGGAAAGGCTCATTCAAACCAGCTCCAACTGTAATCTTCCGTGGATTGTCACCGGTGACTTCAATGCCTACAGTCTCCCATCTGAAAAGCTAGGATCCATATCTGCTGCTGCCATGAAACGTTGTCAACAATTTTCTAGCTGGATTGATTCAGCTAATCTCTTTGATTTGGGGTTTTCGGGTGCCAAATATACCTGGGCAAGGGGAAGCACGAGGTTGACTCGCAAAGCCAGTAGGATTGACAGATCCTTATGTAATGCCGAGTGGAATCTTTCCTTCCCCAACACCATTGTGCAGCATCTGCCCAAGCTTCACTCGGACCACCTTCCCATCCTTACCTCTTGTGGTGTTCCTGATCATGGGTCCAACAGAGTGAAGCCTTTCAGATTTGAAGCCGCTTGGATGATGCACCAGCAGTTTGAAAACTTCTTTACAGGGGAATGGAAGGAAGATGTTAACCTTCAGCAAGCGCTTGATGATATTGCCCCCAAGCTGCAGAACTGGAATAAAAATGTGTTTGGCATCATCAATCATAAAAAAAGGCGAATTCTGGCCAGGCTGAAAGGCATTCAAGTCCAACTTGCAAATAATTTCAATTCTGGCCTCCTCAAATTACAAACCAAGTTGGAGGCTGATCTAGATGTCCTTCTGACCCAGGAAGAGGTGGTCTGGTATCAAAGAGCTAAAGAGAACTGGGTTACCCTTGGAGAGCAGAACACCTCCTATTTTCATCAACAAGCAACAAGGCGGCGCAGGCGCAACAGAATAACCATGCTCAAAGACAGCGTAGGCACCTGGATTAATGACCCAGTTAAGCTCGAAGACATGGTTGTCTCCTTCTACAGAAATGTTTACAGCCAAGATGTCTCTGCCTACGTGGACAAGATGCCTACAAACTGCTTTCCCAGGATCAATCAGGGAGATCTTCTTCAACTTCTCCGCCCTTTTACTATCTTGGATATTCATCAGTCAATTTTTGGAATGAAACCTTTCTCTGCTCCAGGACCTGATGGTTTTCAAGCAGTTTTCTATCAAAAGCTTTGGAAGTTTGTGGGGAAAAGTTTAACTGACCTAGCTTCTGCTTTCTTTGAAACAGGTCAACTTCCAAGTGGAATCTTTGATTCTCATATTGTGATGATCCCCAAAGTTGAACATCCAGAATCCCCTGCTCAACTGCGGCCCATTTGCTTAAATAATGTTAGCCTAAAAGCAATCACTAAAGCTATGGCTAATAGATTGAAGCCCTTGATGAGAAAACTAATTGCTCCAACGCAGAGTGGCTTCATCCCTAAGAGGCAGACTACTGACAACATTATTATTCTTCAAGAAGTCCTGCATTCTCTTAGATCCAAGAAAGGTAAAAAAGGGGGAGTTGTGATCAAAGTGGACCTTGAAAAAGCTTATGACAGGTTGAGGTGGGATTTCATTCGTGATACTCTGATTGAGGTAGGTCTCCCCAGTACCTGGATAAGCAGAATCATGATGTGTGTGGAAGAAAACAAAATGCGGATCAACTGGAATGGCAAGCTAACTGATGCGATTATCCCGTCAAGGGGGGTGAGACAGGGAGATCCTTTGTCACCGTACCTCTTTGTTTTGTGCATGGAGAGACTTGCTCACAGGATTGAGATTGCTGTCAGTGATAATCAGTGGAAACCGCTTTCTCTTACCCCTAATGGTCTTAAATTATCACATCTGTTTTTCGCAGATGATCTAATCCTTTTTGCAGAGGCAAGTGGCAAACAGATTGATATAATCCGACAGTGTCTTGATGATTTTTGTGCTAGCTCAGGGCAGAAGGTCAACTTAAGCAAGTCGGCCCTTTACATCTCCCCTAATGTTGCTCGGTCCAAAGCGGAACGTCTGAGTGCGCGAGCCAACATCCCTCTTACCACGGATCTTGGCAGGTACCTGGGTCTCAATGCTATTCATGGGAGAATCACCAAAACCAGATACAAAGAACTCTGCCTCAGGATCCAAAGGAAATTAGCCTCGTGGAAGACTAAGCATCTCTCACTTGCCTCCCGCATGACTCTGGTGAGAAGTATCAGTTCCTCTATGGCTGTTTACCCGATGTTTTCTGAACATTTGCCAGCTTCTGTGTGTAGCCTGTTAGACAAAATTAACAGGAAATTTATATGGGGCGAGGAGGACAATCAAGTCAAGTTTCATCCAATAGGCTGGGACACCATGACAGCTCCCAAATCTAAGGGTGGAGCTGGCATCAGACCTACCAAGCAAGCCAACTTGGCGATGCTGGCCAAAGGTGGGTGGAAGCTTGTAACTGGAGAAGATACTTTGTGGACCAAGCTGCTGCTGGAAAAATACGGCGGATCTAGGGAAGGGCTTGACATCATCACTAAGAAAAAAGGAAGTTCCCTTGCTTGGAGAAGTTTTGCTGCTTCTCAAAATATTCTTAAAAAAGGCTATGCTATCAATGTTAAGGATGGTAAACAAACCTTTTTCTGGTTGGATTCTTGGTTATTGCAGGCACCCTTGATTAGCTATGCTGTGGCGGAGGTGGCAGATGATTTAAAGCAGCGACGCGTGGCGGAAATGTGGGAGCCGGATCGTGGGTGGAGGATGGACGAATTTCAGCATCTTCTACCACCGCAAATTGTTGACAAAATCAGAGCGGTTTTAATTGACCCTCTTGCTGCGGATGGAGATCAAATATTATGGAACCTCACTTCTAATGGCCACTTCTCAGTCAGCTCTGCATTCAAAGCAATTCAATCGGATCATGGTCACCAGGAAGACAAGCTTTGGAAGCGAATTTGGAAGCTTCAGGTTCCAGAACGAGTTCGTGTCTTCATGTGGATGGCAGCGCTAGGCAAACTAACAACAAATCAGATCAGGGCGGACAGACATTTGACAGGAGACAGCTCGTGCCCCGACTGCAGTGGTATCCCTGAAACTAATATCCATTGCCTCAGGGACTGCAGAAAGGCGAGAGCGGTTTGGAATAAGATCCTGGCTACTGAGACTGAGAGGAAAGCAGCTTTCTTCAACTCAAATTACAAAGATTGGATTAAATCCAATGTCGAGGATGATTCCTCAGGAAGCTGGGTTGGCCCTTGGGGAAGCTTCTTCAGCTTGGTCACGTGGTACTTATGGAAGTGCAGAAATGATGGGATCTTCAAGGGCATCAAGATGGCAGTTTCCTCTCTTCACCACTACATTACAGCTAAAGCGAATGACTGGGCTAGGACTTGGGACTCGGCCAGGAAAGCGATGGCTAAGGTAGATGGAGGTCACAGAGCCGAGACTTTGATTGGGTGGAAAAAACCACCAGCAGGATGGCATAAAATGAATACTGACGGTGCAGCGCGAAGCAATCCGGGATTGGCCACGGCAGGAGGGGTTCTTCGCGATCATAATGGGGACTGGCTCGGTGGTTTTTGCAGCAAGCTCGGTATAGGGACTCCGCTGCTGGCAGAGCTTTGGGGAGTTTTGCAGGGACTTGAAATGGCTTGGAAAAAAGGCTCACGATTTCTCATCATTGAAACAGACTCTCGCCTTGCAATCCAGCTAATTGAACAAAGAAGAGATAATGTGCATCCTTATGCAACGATTCTGGGCGCTATCCGTAGACTCTTGGCGAAGGAATGGGTGGTTCGTCTTGTTCATACATATCGTGAAGGGAATAGAGTCGCGGACTGGCTCTCGAAGCACAGTCTCGTCTATCCCTTCGGTATGTATGAGCTTGAAGCTCCCCCAGCAGATTTGGACAAGATTTACCAAGAGGATGTGATAGGAATCAGCTTTCCTAGGCTGGTGAGGCTCAATTCAGAGGATTGACTCTCTGTTTCTCGGGGGTTTTTTTTTTTTTTTTTCCTTCTGGCTTTTCTCTTCTGAGTTGTTGCTGTTTTGACAGCTTTTCTGGAGTTTGCTAGCTCCTGGCGCTTGCCGCCTCCTTCTAATCAAAAAAAAAAAAAAACTTTATAACAAATTGCAAGATTATATTTATGATTATTTTCTCTTTTTATTATCGAACAGTTTTCAATTTGAAAGGTGCTAAATGAGACTCGGATTGATTTTGTCTTTAGTTAATCCAAATTATTACAGCTCATGATCAAATGAATTCAATTTTCACTTTTTTCCTACGTTCTATATGAATGTATAACTCAGCAAATTTAGAAGTTAGAAAGGTGCACAACAAGAAAAATGAGAATTAACGGCAAAGTCTATTTGCCACAATAAGTGATTTATGTGCCGCGACAGCTCTATAGTGGCACACAATTGTGTGCTGTCAATACTGCTGCCGCTAAAGCTCTTTAGCGACAGATGTTAGCGGCAATATTGTCTGTCTCTAATTCATAAATTCCCAACAGATAGTTTTGTTGCCAAATTGACTTTTTAATTACTTTTTTGTGTGTCCTTTTCTCTATTTAGTAGCGAAAGTATTTGTCACTAATATTAACTTTAGCGACAGATATATATGCTTCCATAATACGTTTTAGAGTCACTTATATTAGCCTTTAAATTCATCTATAAAAGCAAACTAAGTGCCGCTAAAGGATAAATTTTTGTCGCTAATTTCACATTTACGTAGCATTTTTCTACTTTTTGAGGCATATTAATAGCCTCTAATTCGTATATTCTAGACAAATCTATTTTCTAGTAATTCTATCTTTTAGAAGCAAAAATACTTGCTGGTAATTCTAGTTTTTAGAGGCACAAATACTTGTTGGTAATTAGATTTTTTTTTCTCGATAATACATTTGATTTATTTTCCGTTGCATATATTAGAGGCTCGTATATTAATATTAAATTGGGCTCCAATATCTTAATAATTATGATATTTAAAAGGAAAGAACAAATTAAATTGAAAGTTAAAGGAACTAGCATATAAACGTACGTAGTCTTCTTACAAAACATTCAAGGAAATAGCAATGCCAAATGTGCAGGGGAAAATGCTAAAATTCCACGTTTTTACTAAGTATACCATAATCTAAATACTTCCCACAAATGCAATAACACCTATATACGAAGCTCAACTTCATCACAAACGTGGGTGCCGGACAAATCTTCAAACTGGTTCAACCTGTATTGAAAACAATATTTCGATGTAAGTTCCCAAATGATTTGAACAAAACCGCAACAATGAATCAAGCCATAGTACACAAATTGAATTACAAAACTAGATGGCCATGCAATACTTTGTGCTACCACATCCCCAATGAACTGATAACTTCCATATGGTCGTATTAAAGGCTCGTCGCGCTTGATTGGTACTATGATAAATACTTCAATAAATCCAACTCCTAGCTCTTCCCCGCCTACCAATTTCTTCGAATCTTTACTGCACACACCGGCTCTAGCTACATCGACGCCAGGACTCCGTAAACTCTTCAATAACACATCTGTCAATCCCTATAAATGCACAAAAGTATCATTTAGTACTTGTAAGTAAAACGCTATAAAAGCAGTATCAAATATGAAAAGAAGAAAAACTTAAAACTTATAAAGTTCATTATGGAACTAATGACAGCGGAAGGGTAAAAAACAAGCTTAGGTGCTATGTACCAACGATATGAATATCAACTAATGAAGCAAGGCATAACTAAGAAAAATGGAACATTGTATGGGGAAGAACGGGTTGATGCATGGTCCGCCCTAGCTAGTTGTGTCTTGTGCATTACAATATAAGCTAAAGACAATATATATTACCTGACTACAAGGATCAGAATCAACAAATCCACCAACATTATTTTCAAACTCATTCCCTTGAGATGAAATCAAATTCTGAAAAAATGAGTAGTGCATGATTAATTTGGTTTGGTGCCCATGGGAAACATAAAAAGAAAGGAAAAAAGACAATTACTGACTATTCTTACTTCAGAAATGCGCACTCCACCAACATCTGACATTTCCATTGATCTTCCTATGGAAAGTGCATTTGGAATAGATGGAGAGAGATGTAGCGGTGAATCAGTACGACTAGCATTCCTATTTGGTACCTATACATGTAAACAAATTACTTCAGTTCACTTGCACAAATAAACCTCTATAGAATTTAAACATCACATATACCTTTTGCAAGCAGCGTTCTTTTCGAGAAGTGCTCTCATTTGAAGCTAAACCACGAAACTGAGGTATATATGTCTCAAGAATCATATTTGGCAGCACCTGAGACTAACAAAGCATACCATATTTAAGCCTATATTTAAAAATGGGATTCTTCTAATCTGATGATGATGAAAAAAGTTAATGCTATCCAAGAGATCTATTTGTATACAATATATATGAGTAACTATACATGTCTGTCAAGGTAGTATATGAAGAGATGGGAAAGAGGCTGATGGTGTTGACTCTTTCCTGACTACCCCCTTCAGTAAAGCGACTGAGTAGTCACTTAGCTTAGACTAAATAAAACAATGTACTTGTATATAAGTGCTTACATTTCTTGGTGTGATATCAACTCTTCTAGGTGGAGATTGTAACATCGAGACGAATGAACCAACTCCTAAATTGTAGGCATCCTATAACAGAATCATAGTAGTATGCATCAATTAATAATAGAAAATGGAATTTTGTGTGGTACTTTGAATGATGGAACACTAACCTGGGTACATGAGTCATCATTGTGAATGCCTTCATCATCCACATGTCTTGTGTGATCCTATATCATACATAATAAAGTGAAAGTAAAAATGGATCTGTTTACTAGTTGTACTAATAAATAGGACATATTATTTAAGTAGAGAACTTATGAAATTTTACCAAAGTCGGTTCATCTCCAGCAACATTAGGCGAAGTATTCAAATCACTTGTTGAATTCAACAGTGCATTTGGATTCATCTTCTCAAGGATGGTGAAGATTCTGACTTGTTCTGCTTTCATCTGATTCATCTCATCTTGATGTCTAGCTTCCATTTGTTTCATATCTTCTTGTACTTTCACCACTTTTTCATCTGCATTTCTTTGGACCTCCAATGCCGTCTTTATGATTGACTTGCGAGAGTTTCTCACACCCCAAGCTGGTGCTAATCCAAATGTCCTAGGCCGATATTTACACTTATTTTCCCCTAATACAAGTGTAAGAGGGTCATCTCCTCCCGCACCATCATCAATTTTCTCCTGAAAACATGTTTAATACATTTGACAATGAATTCGTTATGATCAAACCACAAAGAGATAAATCAAACTTAACATGATACTTACAATGACCTCTGTAACTTTTGCAGTCAATGGAGTCCCATCACGATGTACATGGGCAGCAACATAAACCTCAGCTTCAGTTGGCTCTGACTTATCTGGTCTGGATTCTTTCTGGAGAGTACAATATACCACAAACTAATTACTAGTCATATAATTAAACACGCATATTAAAGAGTGAATGTATGCAATGTAAACATCACCATTTCTTCCTTCTTGTTAGCATTACCAGATGATCCCAAGGTGTGTGTTGATGTCATCTGGCTTCGGTTATTTTTTGCTACTTCTTCTCTATGCTGTAATGATTGAAACAAGTTCAATATATGATGAAGGTCTTCCACTACATGCAGGTATGTTGTAATTAAACATAATACTACATACAACCTTTCCTAATTAAAAAGAAAAAGGCTAGTAAAAACAAACCAGAGGTTCCTTGAAATCCGAAAACCATACCGCAGCCTTGTCACTTTTCCAAAAGTTCATCAGCCATTCCCAGTCAGCAGGAGATACTCTCGTATCTTTTATACCATTCTCCAACCAGTTCGCTTTCACCGCTGCCTTGAAATCCTTCCATTTCTTGCTAAATGATGTCATCACCCATGGTTCAATTAGCGGATCAATGATGAACTTTTCCTGGTTGTAATAAATGAATATAAATTACAAGGGAAGAGTACCCCATACTGTTAATAGAAATATATGTTACATATATATATACTCTACCTGTATCAATTTCCAGAATTTTGTCTTGTAAGAATCAGGGACTTTCCTCCAGTCATCATATTGGATAGGAACATATGCACCATTTCTAGCTATAACACCCAAGAAGTTAGCTAGCTTATTTTGACCATCCCCCACTGGTTGTCCATCATCATTCATGGCCACGAAAATCTTTTGACCCCGAGATTTTACGATTTTGCAGGTTCACACAATTAGCTATATTAGCAGCATAGCCATCGGGGACTTTGACACTCTTCAGTACCCCACACAAAGTTTGCTTCTTTCTAGAAGTGAGCGTAAAAGATGCATCACGTTGAAAAACTTACCAGAAGGATGCCTCTGTGGATGTAGTCCCTCCCTTATCCTTAGCAATTGCATATCCTGACGAGCTTTGACACCATCTTTTGACCTCCCAGCAACATTCAATAATGTAAAGAGAATGCTATCACATACATTCTTCTCAATATGCATCACATCAAGATTGTGCCTTAGTAGATTACTCTCCCAATATGGCAACTCAAAGAATATACTTCTTTTCTTCCAACCATGAGGTAGAGTCTCATTATGGCATTCTTTGCCAAACGTGATCTGCTTGCCCTGTAACTCATTTAACACCTCAGACCCAGACAGTGGTTTAGGAGCAGGTCTGAACTCTTGTTGATTATCAAAGGATATTTTATGGTGTCTGAGTACATGGTTAGAAGGCAAAAATCTGCGATGGCCTAAGTAGCAATATTTGTGACCATGGTACAACCACTGCGAATGTGTATACTTATGACAAGAAGGACATGCTAGCGAACTTTTAGTGCCCCATCCTGATAACATTGCATAGCCTGGGAAGTCACTTATTGTCCACATCAGTGCTGCCCTCGTTTTAAAAGTTTGCTTAGAAGATGCGTCATAAGTTTCTACACCATGATTCCATAAACCTTGTAAATCCTCAATCATCGGCTGCAAATAAACATTGATGTCATTTCCAGGAGACTTTGGACCAGGAATCAGCAGGGTTAAAAACATGTATGGCTCCTTCATGTTTAACCAAGGAGGCAAATTATATGCCATCATAACAACTGGCCATGTGCTGTGTGAAGTACTCATTGATCTGAAAGGGTTGAAACCATCAGCCGCTAAACCCAATCGAACGTTGCGAGGATCGGAAGCAAAATTTGGATGATGAAAGTCAAAAGTTTTCCATGCTGGAGAATCTGCCGGGTGCCTCAAGTTGCCGTCTTTTACACGACTTTCAGCATGCCAACGCATCAAATTTGCTGTGTCTGGCGTAATGAACAACCTTTGAAGTCTTGGCCCTATTGGAAAGTTGCGAAGCTTCTTGAAAGGGATTTTGGTAGACTTGGATTCCGATGAAGCAGTTGGATCACTCGATGTATTTTGCCACCTATCAGCTTTACATATCACACACTTGGACGCATTGAAATGCTCTTTCCAAAATAACATGCAGTCATTCTGACAAGCGTCATAAGTTTTTTGACTCAGCCCCAATTCTGACATAACTTTCTTCAATTCATAGTGAGATTTGGGTAAAGTTTCTCCTGCAGGAAGTACTTCTCGCAATAACTCTAACAACATATCAAGCGATTTGATGGACCATTTCCCAACACGCTTCACGTGAAATAGTCTGATGATGAAGGAAAGCTTGGTATGACTAGTACAACCAGGAAATAGTGGAGTTTGATGTGCTTCTACCAACCTCGAAATTTTACGAACCTCCGCGTTTGTTTCATCTGCTTCTATTCCGGACTGAATGTCGTTCTCCATATCACCAAGCATGTCATCGATGTCATTGTCAAAATCCTCATAATTTGTTGTTGTATCCACATAATCTTGATTTGTTGCGCCCGTAGCAGGCGACGCATGGAAAGAACTTTCTCCATGTAAAACCCAATTTGTGTAATTGGGGAAGAATCCGAAGCATACCAAGTGATTGTACACATCGGGACGAGACAACCATGACCGATTGCAACATTTCTTGCACGGACATAAAATTTGTGCATCGCGACAACATGGGGAAGCATAAGCGAAATCCAAAAATTTGTTTAACCCATCTATATATTCCTCCGTACTTCTTGGCTTGCTCATCCAACTTTTATCCATCTGCAACAAAAACAAATTCATAATAAACAGGTTAAATAAATAATTTGTAATTAAGGAGCGATTATAGCCTTTTTCATTCAACGAGAAAAAAATATAACCTTTGTCGCTGTAGATTGGATCTCCGGAGAATGGTATGAACTGACCGGAGAATATGGTCTTCCAAAAAAATAAACTAAATAAATTTATGCTCTGAAATATCTATTATCCGTTACCCCTGTCCGCCTAGAGACTCCTAGACACTTGTGAGTGACACCTACAGCTTCTGGACTCCTTGGATGCCTACAGTTCCTGGGCCAACGTGTGTCTCTCTTAGAAATTGATAGCAGCAAATAACTTGAAGTTCCAATTTATAGACCATCACTATACTTTGTCCTTGTCCATATCGTATTTGTCTTCCGTATATGATACGCATAGATTTTTTTTTTTTGTTTTTGTTTTTTTACCCCAGCTTAGAAATTGATTGCAACATTCCTCATTTATAATATTAATTAATTAATAGCAATATACGAGTTGGACAATTAAATAAGGAGTCACTTTATATGCCACACTTCTCATGATCATTCTATGCCAGCTGTTGCCACCATGTGTACTTAATCTTTTTGTTCCAAACCACATGTGATTAGTTTATTATAATGGCGAGTTAGAGTACAATGAAAAGGATGACTCTTGCCTCGGTTAAATAACATTTACCCTTTTTTTAAGAGAAAAAATAAAACAATTTACTTGTTATTTAAATAATTAACGGAGTCGGAATTATAATAATTATATCCTTTAATTGGAGGCACATATGTGTTTTGTGGGGACAATCCTATTTGATGGTATTTCAATTAAAATCAACGGATTATTTTTCTATTTTTCATTCAAGGTTTTTCGTTTAGATAATAGTAG